ACTTGTTTAGTTTTGCGTTAATACAAATCCTGTTGATTTTTACAAGATATTTAATATTTGTTTAGTTACGCGTTAATACAATTCCTGTGTTAGGGCAGCCGCAACGCCTGTTCATTTCCTCCATTTAAACGTTGAATAAATGTTCAATGCATTGTGACCATTCAGTTAATGCGTGGGGCCCAGGATTATGTTCAAGAGGTTGAACGCGTTCATCAGGCTTGTTTTTCTTTTTTTTTTGTTTTAAATTAATTTCTTAACTATATTATTTTATTCTTTTACAGATTTAAAATTTATATTAAATGAGTGGATAATGTGGGTCTCATATATGTAGTTAAATGAATGAGTAGGAATGTGGGTGTGTGTTTAAATGGATAGAGATTAAGTGGAAATATGATGTGGAGATGATATGGATGAGAGAGAGTGTTACTTTTTTGTTGAACGAATAATTTTTGTGTTAAGGGATGTGCACAAAAAATTATTTGTTCAACAAAAAAGTAACACTCTCTCTCATCCACATCATCTCCACATCATATTTCTACTTAATCTCTATCCATTTAAACACACACCCACATTCCTACTCATTCATTTAACTACATATATGAGACCCACATTATCCACTCATTCAATATAATTTTTTCCAAACTTCGTACTTATAAATAGACCCCCTCTACTCACTTGACCTCATCGCCCATTTTCATTTTTTAGATTGTAAGTTCACTGTTTATACTCCTTCTTTTCAGTTTTTATACTTTCCTGTCCTCACTTGTTTGTACGTTCTTCTTCTCAGTTGTTATTCTAATTCTGTGTTTTCTTTTCCAGGTGCTGTTTCAAGTTTTGTGAAGTTTCGAAGCAAAACGCAATGTACGTAGATTATTCTATTCATTTAACCTTAGTCTTATTTTGTTGAGCTTGATTTATGTTTGATATATGAGAATGCATGAGTTTAGTTATCCTACTACGAACTTGAGTTTTGCTGTTTTAGTTGATTTACGTGTGTTAGTTGATAGTTGTTTAATCTTTGTTGGCTGAAGTTATATCGATTCTAGCGTTTAATTTCTGTTTTTTTACGAATTTTGACGATATCCTGATAGAGTGAGATTTTCTTGCGTTTAATCTAAAAAATTCATGCAAAAAACAGAGGATATCGTTGTTTAATACATACTGTTTTGCTGTTTAACCTCTAGATCTTTTTAATTTCTGTTCGCTGAAAAGTGATTTTGTATCTTTTAATACATACTGGTGAGATTTTGTAGCGTTTAATCTAAAAAATTCATACGAAAAACAGCGGATATCGTTGTTTAATACATACTGTTTTGCTTTTTACTCACTAAATCTATTTAATTTCTGTTCGCTGAAAAGTGATTTTGTATCCTTTAATACATACTGTTGAATTTTTTTACAATTAATCTTCGTGATTATTGTTGTTTTTTGGCTCGGCGTTTAAGTTTAGTTGTCCACTTAATCTGAAAATGATTTTGCATAATGGATTTTAATTGTCGAACGCGAGTGTTATCCATTTTTTACAATTTATTTAATACTTGTTTAGTTTCGCGTTAATACAAATCCTGTTGATTTTTACAAGATATTTAATATTTGTTTAGTTACGCGTTAATACAATTCCTGTGTTAGGGCAGCCGCAACGCCTGTTCATTTCCTCCATTTAAACGCTAAAAAAATGTTCAATGCATTGTGACCATTCAGTTAATGCGTGGGGCCCAGGATTATGTTCAAGAGGTTGAACGCGTTCATCAGGCTTGTTTTTCTTTTCTTTTTTTTTGTTTTAAATTAATTTCTTAACTATATTATTTTATTCGTTTACAGATTTAAAATTTATATTAAATGAGTGGATAATGTGGGTCCCATATATGTATTTAAATGAATGTGTAGGAATGTGGGTGTGTGTTTAAATGGATAGAGATTAACTAAGGGCATTCACATCCCTTAACACAAAAATTATTCGTTCAATAAAAGAGTAACACTCTCTCTCATCCACATCATCTCCACGTCATCTTTCCAATAAATCTCTCTCCATTTAAACACACACCCGCATTCCTACTCATTCATTTAACCACATATATGGGACCCATTCTCCACTCATTCAATATAATTTTTTCCAAACTTCGTACTTATAAATAGACCCTCTCTACTCACTTGACCTCATCGCCCATTTTCATTTTTTAGATTGTAAGTTCACTGTTTATACTCCTTCTTTTCAGTTTTTATACTTTCATCTCCTCACTTGTTTGTACTTTCTTCTTCTCAGTTGTTATTCTAATTCTGTGTTTTCTTTTCCAGGTGTTGTTTCAAGTTTTGTGAAGTTTCAAAGCAAAACGCAATGTACGTAGATTATTTTATTCGTTTAACCTTAGTCTTATTTTGTGGAGCTTGATTTATGTTTGATATATGAGAATGCATGAGTTTAGTTATCCTACTACGAGCTTGAGTTTTGCTGTTTTAATTGATTTACGTGTGTTAGTTGATAGTTGTTTAATCTTTGTTGGCTGAAGTTATGTCGATTCTAGCGTTAATTTCTGTTTTTTTACGAATTTTGACGATATCCTGATAGAGTGAAATTTTGTTGCGTTTAATCTAAAAAAATTCATGCAAAAAACAGAGGATATCGTTGTTTAATACATACTGTTTTGCTGTTTAACCTCTAGATCTTTTTAATTTCTGTTCGCTGAAAAGTGATTTTGTATCCTTTAATACATACTGGTGAGATTTTGTAGCGTTTAATCTAAAAATTTCATACGAAAAATAGCGGATATCGTTGTTTAATACATACTGTTTTGCTTTTTACCCACTATATCTATTTAATTTTTGTTCGCTGAAAAGTGATTTTGTATCCTTTAATACATACTGTTGAATTTTTTTACAATTAATCTTCGTGATTATTGTTGTTTTTTGGCTCGGCGTTTAAGTTTAGTTGTCCACTTAATCTGAAAATGATTTTGCATAATGGATTTTAATTGTCGAACGCGAGTGTTATCCATTTTT